GAACCCAGCCAAGATGCTCCCCATCCATACCATGGCCATCCTGCAGATAAAATAGTATATTTCAGATACAATCAATGACAATAGCAAGGCAGCAGACAGTCTTGCACGTCTGTCCCTGATATATCTTCTCATGGCTTGGCTTTCTTCATCTTTATAATCTTTTGTACTTGCATATAATATGTAACTGATAAAGTAAAAACAATAAAGCAGCATCACAAATACTTCACAGAACATCCAACCGTAAGGATAAAGCCTGATGAAAAACTCAAGACCCTTTGGAAGTTCCCCGGATGATATGGTAGAAGCTTTTTGCAAAATACTGAAATTAGCGAAAATAATGCAAATAGCCAGCGAAAAGTTCGACAAATAAGCATAGTACACCGCAGAAAATGCTATTGAATTGTCAATGTAAAAAATGGCTAGAAAAAGCAATATTGATAGGATTAATAGTGTGATATAGACAGGCGAAAGCATTCGGAATGGGGTCAAAAGAGTGGAAACAATTGCATCTGCAAATTCACCCGAAATGCTCAGTACATCTTTTAAACAGCCTATTAGATAGTCCTCTGTTATTATACCTTCAGAATCTGCATCAATATCTATCTTGCATATTGAGCTATTCTGAGAAGCATCAACGATAGTTTTAGTGTGGTTAATGGCGCCGTCCTTCAAGTTTCTGCTTTCCCAAGTGGTAGATGCAACAGTTATTGGCAAAAAGTTCTTCAGGTAGTTTATTAGACTCTCTGATCGGTTACTTATTGTATTCTGATATGCCTCTTCCATGTTAAGGTATAAAATTTTTATCTAAATTTATTAAACTTAAAATTTTTAACTTAGAATTATTTGATTCGATTTGTTTGACGTGCCAATAAAAACTTGAAACCACTGATAGTACTCGCATATAAGCATTTACACTCTTTTAGAACAGACTGTGCATAGTGCACATATACTTTAATTAATGCATAGTATAAGTGATAGATATGTTGCCTTAGCCCAGTTTTGTTACGATAAGGTAATAAACTTCTGCAAAGCAATGCACTGAATGCCAAGTACACATGAAATATGGTGTCAAAAGCTTATTGTTATGGTGCTGAAACGCCGTTTCAGTCTTTATTTTTAATCTATTTGCTTACATTCAAATAAACCAATGAAGTTGATAATTTTGCTGATAACAATTGCATTCTCAAATAAAATACTGGATACCATAGTAGGCCGACAAACCAGAATACGACCTACATATTACGCATATGTTGTCATGTCATACAACCCCTCCGATGACGCTTTTATATCCTCAAGGAATGCTAAATCAAGACTGACGGAGTTAAAAATTAATAGAGATGGCCATCGCTATATTTTTGGATCCGGAGATTCATGGCTATGTGTAAAACACGGTGACTTGAAAAAATGCAAAGACCCAACACCCTTTGATATTGAAACCACAGTTATAGGTTTTAGAATAAAAAGCGGAACAAAGTGTCTAACCTTAGGCAAGACATATAGATTTGAAGGGTGTCGTAAGAAAAATAAAAAACAGGACTTTGTTTTAGAAGTAGATGAAAAGCTGGTGTGCAACGATATGTTCGTCGACATTTTAGGTGAGAAGTATGATTTGAGAAAAACAATTGATATGAAGGCAGCAGACCAGAAAAAGTTTGATGAGGCAATGAAAAAACTAAAGGGTGTCAGTCCAAAAACCAAAAATTCATTACGAAAGATCTGGAAATCAAGAAGATATAAGTGGCCTAAATGGGGTCTGTGCTAAATAACCGCAGCGAATTAGTATACTATTTTAATAAAGTCTGCACTTATATAAACGTGTATGTTAGTTTAAGACGTAAATGTCATACCCGCAAGTCAATAGTGGCATGCAGATTCTGCATCTCTGGACAAGCCAATAATAGAGATGATTGGGTGTTTGACTGTTCTTCTCTAAGCTTTCAAGAGTTCTCCTCTTGTTTGTATTTTTAGTCAAAAAACTGTACCCTTATGGAGATAAACAAAAGATGCATTTCAGCATTTGCTAAGAACGAGCCATTCGTGGCACTGGCCACTAAGTCCAAGCTCTTCGATCCCACATTTTCACTAACCAGTGAACTTATTCTAGTTGACTATATGTCTGGAAAGATTTATCCAGCCGTCACAACCGAGTTAAAATTTTGTAAAATTTTATGGTGTGAGTTCGGAGAATTCCAATATTTGGTTGCAGGCCATGAAAATGGAGTAATTTCAATTTACAATAGAACAGAGGACGGGCTTGCTCTTCTGAAGTCCAAGCAATGTCTTGAAGATGACATCACAGCACTAGATTTCCTTGCATCCAAGGCTGTGCTTGTTGCCGGATCCTCGAAAGGAAAAATAGTGTTTTGGACACTCTCAAATATGGAAAAGGAATATGCACTAGACATTCCCATTTCAATAAGTATTTCTGCAATCGCATGGAATCCGAAAGTTTCAAAAATTCTTTGTGTTGGATCTGCAGATGGAGTCATCAAAGTTCTTGATATTAAAAAGAACTCGGTCATTATGACACTAAATAGTAAAGAGTTTTCGGAAGTACGACATCTTGAGTGGGATCCGGAAAACAACACCAAGCTGAATGTAATGAGCGAGAAGGGATACATTACTATATTTGACTTGTCAAATGACACGGTCACAAAGCTTGGGGACCATAAAGACCCCATAATAGGATTTTATAGGGATATTATTGTCTCAAAGTCACAAATTGAGGTAGGAGGAACATTCATTAAAGTAAGTGACAGTTTTGAATGTGCAATATCAAAAAGGGATCCGGTTTTGTCCCTCAGTTATGTTAGTGGATCTACAAATGTTATTTCCATTCCGGTAATGAGGAAGACCGTTCCTTTTTGCAGGGTATCGAGATATCTATATACACCAGCGTCTAAGTTTGAGATAAAGGTTGTCAATGCTGCTGAAGCACCATCTATGGATGCCTTTTATCACTCGCTGCTAGAAATGGTTTATTCTGCTAAGAGTCTCGAGGAAGTTGCTGAGTATCTCCTAAGCAACAGTAAGAATGTACCTCGCGATCTTGTTGATAGAAAAGCCAATATTGATATAGATATTAATGACCCGCATACTCTTGATTTTATTCATGGCAATATCGAAAACCTGAAAACCAGCAAAACCAGTCTGAACCTGGGAGCTCTAGAGTGCCTGTTTTCAAAAAATACATCATGTCTTGCTGCCATTACAGATTTTAGAATTGTATATGTACTTTGCAGACTACTAAATGACTATGATGCACTTTCAAGAATTTCAAATCCAAGGCTTCTTGCCACACTTCTCATCTTTAACAAAATTAAGAAATTTGATCTTCTGTCAAATTCAAGGGAGGGCCGAATTCTAAAAGCAATACTAACAAAAGATTATGGAATGTATATTGATAGTAGAGTTCCACCTAACATTTCATATTTGAAGCAAATGAAAATGCTTGAGGCCCTATTCAAAGAGATTGAACCATTTATCACAGAGCCAGTCAGGTCCTCAAAGCTATCGGAATATTTTTGGTACAAGGTGTTTATTGACGGACCAAAAAGCGTTGAATATCTAAACATTTCCGATCCAAATATTCAGTTTTACGTAAAAATGCAGACTTCCCAAGTTTTGAGTGACAGAATGAAAGGCTTGTCAGTCAAGAGTGCACCAGTAGATCAGTCGCCACATAGGATACAGCAACCACCGATGCCGTCATCCAGTCAGTTAAGTTACAACATGCTCCAATCTAAGCAGCCAAGTTGCAACGTGGCTTCGGCTCCACAACAGGGTTTTAATGTGCCCCAGCAAAGACCTTCACAGCCAAGCTTTAGCGTACCTACAGCACCACAGCAAAGCTTCAATGTGCCCCAGCAAAGACCTTCACAGCCAAGCTTTAGCGTACTTACAGCACCACAGCAAAGCTTCAATGTGCCCCAGCAAAGACCTTCACAGCCAAGTTTTGGTACGCCTTCTCAGCTAGGACTTGGAGTCTCGCAACAAGGAGCTTTTATACCAAAGAATCAACAGGCAGCAGACTTTGGGCAAGGCCCGGTTTCAGGTGCCGTCTATCCTGCTCCTGCACAGCCATCTTTCACTGTACCACCAAAATCCCCCTATCTTCCACAGAGACAAATTAGCACACCAGCTGCTGGCTATCCAAATATTCCTCAGCCTAATCCACAGGCAACGCCTGCTCCTTTTAAGTCATTTTCGCCTTCTGGATTTTCAGGAATACCGCAAAGATCTGTTCCACAAATGCCTTCCTCACCCAGAGGACAGCTTCAAAACATACCATCAAAGCCCACAGATCAAATTCAAGTTGAAAACGCAGACAAAATTGCATCCGATTTTACACATCTAGTTTCTGAAATTCGACAGAAAGCGGATGCCAATAAATCACTAATACTCAGACAAAGAAAGCAGCAATATCTCAATGCACTGAGTCCATATGACAGTTTAGACAAGAGCAGACTGCCCCCGCTTGTTTTACATGTTATGGATCTTGTCTCAAAGAGGGTCGCGGCAGCTGATGATAATATGAAGAGTGATCTGGACATTCTAGTAGATGGATATAATGATGTTGTCTGGTTAAAGGCAGCAGTTGAACTCATAAAAATGGTTTATTAAATTCCTTCACAAATTGTTGCATTGCTTAAAAGCCATTAAGTGCATTATCATTAATGTATGTAGTCAAATCAAATTGCAATAAGCCCAATTTATTCAACCAAACATGGCACTTCAATGGTCTTTATCAATGGAGCTGTTTCTGCCCATACTTACTTGTCTAACTCTACAACCGTCGGCCTCTTGATCCCTGTTTCTTTTTCTTCCTCGCTCATCTCAACAAAAAGCATTCTAATCTCATCCTGTATGTACTTGATTCTATCTTGCGAAATGTGAGAAAATACATGCTCTTCTATTTCGTTAATCTTTTCTTCAATGTACTTCCTCACTCTCGCTCTGCCATTGGGTTTTCTGTATTTTTCACTTTTTCTTGGATCCCCGGTATTGGTTTCTTGCTTGTTCGTATTCGCCATCTGCATCGAGAAGGGTCAAGGATAAGAATGAGGTATATCCTCATACTAAGCATTTGCTTGTTATAAATAACTTTGAGACTAGAAGTACACGGACGGCATTCTGTTGAAAGCTTGTTGCTTTCATATCCCTTTCGCTTGCACTTTAGCTTTGACATATACTCATCCTATCACATGCTATGTCTCCTCAAAACTACTTTTAAATTGTTACTGATTGGCTCTGCTGTTAAGAGCTAGCTAATTAGCTGCTCAAAAATAGCATGCTAAGAGAATGCTTGTCCGTAGACCATGCAAAGTATAATATCATGGCGATCCCATCTGCGCTAATTGGCTTGTGCTTTTAAACCAAAACATCACGAAACCAGCATTTTTGTTTATCTACCCATGCCAAGATACATGCAAGGAAGACTAATAGGCTCTGGGACATACGCTAAGGTCTATGAGGCATACGACTCAGAGACCAAGAGGGTGGTTGCGATGAAGAAAATAGAGTTAAATGAAAAGGAGGGTATGCCCTCAACAGCATTAAGGGAAATTTCCATTTTGAAAAGCACAAGCCACAAAAACATTATAGAGCTTTTTCAGATCATCCACAGAGAGGACATTCTCGTTTTAATATTCGAATTTATAGATTTTGATCTATTAAAATACATAGAAGTGCATGGCAATGTTCTTTCTTTAATTAAGCAGCTGATAAATGGTGTACATTATTTGCATTCACATAGCATTATTCATAGAGATCTCAAGCCAAGCAATATCTTAGTGGCTAAGGACGGGGTTCTCAAGATCGCCGATTTCGGACTGGCCAGGGCTATTAGTCCAATGGACTTTTCATATTCCTCCGAGGTTGTTACGCTGTGGTACAGAGCGCCCGAACTTTTGATGGGGACTCCAAACTACCTTTATGAAATTGACATCTGGAGTCTTGGATGTATTATTTATGAAATGATAACGTTAAAACCACTACTTCCCGGTGAGAATAAACAATCACAGCTGGCACTATGCAAAAATCTGAACTATCAAGGCATCATCAATGAGCTTGTAAAGATCTACAACATTCCGCCCTTTCTGGCCAGCATTGTTTGTAGATGCTTGGATGTGACGCCCCACAAGAGAATAACAATAGTTGAAATCATAAAATTGATAGAGCACAACTTAGGATAAAAATAAATAGCTGTTGTCACATATCAGAGCTACTAAGCACACGATCTTTACATTGTGCAGCACTATATAATGAAAGTGGCCTATAAATAGCTATTTATTAAATATCTGCCAACTCGATTATACCTAGTTACTCCAACATTATATCTAGAATTTTCCAATGATCTTCTCTCTTCTGTGTTGCATGGCTCTTCAACCATTCATACTACTTTTAGTTCCTGCACCCATCGTTGAAATGAAGACGGCAAAGAAGAAGTCTAGTAACTTAGCATCTCTTTTAATTGCCGATCGATTCTCTGGAAAGACATGTCCAAAGAAGCACATCCAAAGAAACTCAGTTACTCAGTTTACTCCTCTGCTGATGCTGAACGAAAAGCTTACTATAGAAAATAAACCCATTTCAAACTCAAAATACACACCAGAGAGCACTGAGGCACTACAGGTTAAATATGAGAAGTTGATAGCGAGTATGGACTGTTCTTTAAGCATTCCTCCTCGCGTTCCACACGAATTTGTGGAGGCTGGCGACTTTAAACAACTCGAAAATTTTGTATTCAATTGCTGGAAATATTCTCACAACGACAAAGTTTTTGAAAGAAATATTGAAATTTGGAGACAGTTTTGGATCACATGTGAAAGATCTACAACAATAGCACAAATTTTGGATGCCAGGGATCCATTGGCCTATTTTAACGAGGATATTCTGAAATTCTATCCCGAGAAAAACCATGTGTTGCTGATAAACAAGCTGGACTTGGATAAAAATGCTGAAAAGAAGCTTTTGATGCTAGGGGCAAAAAATGTTCAAGTATATGCCTATTCTACCAGAAACTCCACCTTCGATTTTTGTCTTTCTGGCACAATTGGGCTGATTGGATATCCGAATGTTGGGAAAAGCTCAACAATTAACATGATTCTTCATCAGAAAAAGGTTAAAGTTAGCTCAACGCCAGGAAAAACCAAGCTTATTCAAACAATCGAAACTCCAAATTTCACTCTTTTGGATTGTCCTGGGCTTGTGTTTCCTTGCCATTCGAAAATTGAGCTTGTTTTGATGGGAATATTAAACATTGATCAGATTACCGATCTTCACAAGTATGAGCAGTGTGTGGTTAATCGTATCGGAGTTGGAACGCTGAAAAGGTTTTATAGAATAGCTGATTCGGAATGCGACTTTCTAACAGCTATGAGTCTCCAAAAAGGTTGGGTTAAAAGCAAGTGTTTAAAGATGATAGCCAAGGACTATGCCATGGGAGAGATACCAGCGCCGTTTGCCGACAGTTGAGGACTGCAGGCCTAGGAGACTTGGCCATGCAAAACATAACACCAGTGCCCATGTGTAACTGGCGTGTTTAATAAATCAGAAAGCGATGAAGCAATTAGTCTATGTTCTTTATACTTTCACAGTTATGTACGCACTAATATATTGATGACGAAAGTTTTGTTTCCTTATACAGGGCATATTTGTTGACTATCACAATGCTAAAATGCTATTGGACATTCGCATGTAGTATAAAACCAGAAAAGCTTGCATGTTATATTGCAGTACATTTAATTAAAATGGGTTTTTGCAAACTCTCTTGCGATGATGTTAACGGAAAACATAGGCTCTTTCTCGTATTTCTGCTCCAAGTTAGGGTATCGTGGCTCTGTGAATATCAATTTTACAAGCAGATCAAAGCATTCTTTAATGGCATCTCGATCAAGCTTTGAGTACATAAAAAACAGGTTCTTGTTTATGTCAGATTGGCATATCTTTCTTGCCAAATACATTGCAGCGGTGCAAACTATTGACTTTTTGAAGTTATAAAATTCCTGGTATAGTGTCATTAATTCAAGAAAATATTTCGCCATCTTTCGGGACTTTTTTTCATAGTTGTTGGCCTTTGAAACCCTTCTTAAAAAATATAGCGGATTGACGTACTTTATATCGTAATCTAAGCTGTAAAGCATGTATTTTTCAGCTTTTTTAATCTCTATTTCCGAAAAGTTGTTTTCTGTCAGCAAAACAAAGCTGTTCAAATCCGGACAAATTACCTCCTCTATTTTGGATGCGATGAACAGTGCAGTAATCCCTACCAGCTGAAGCTTGTTTGTCGATATTGACCTTCCATTAAGAAATCGGTCAATTAGGAAAATACTAAAATGCAAGGTATCGTCACAGAGATTTAGCTTCTCGTGGGTGGCAATAACCCAGTCAACGAGAAGCGATCTCATCTCAAAGCTGATATCTTTTTCATGAAAGTTAAAAATGATATCCAAGCCTTCAAAATAGCTTTCTATTTGCTTTTTGTATTTACTTACTGCGCAGATCTCATTCTCGTCAGAGTGAAGATGAGAATTGAGAATGCCCTTTTCCGGCTCACTTAGCTGTGTCTTTGTTGTATTTGTCTGTCTATTTGTAATATTTTTTAGAGGTTCTGCAAATGCCTTTCTGGTTATTGCCATTGAGGGGAGTGGTAATCAAAAACAAAGAATGTGTGACATATGCATGTAAAATTTTTATGAATAACAATAAGAGTAAATCAACGTAGCGGACAGCTTGTTTAATTTGACGTGCTTGAGTAAATGAGCCATCTATTTTATGAATGATGCCAACGAGAAAACGTATTGGATTAATTAAGCAAGCCAATATAATTCAAATATGCAAGTCAAGATACTGCTGTGCAGAGTAAATGGGCTTTGTTTTGAATCAAATATAAGCTGAAGCGGTTCTAAGAACATAATAGCGTTGATAAAAATTGATTATGTGCCATTCTATTATATTTATAAAAGTCAAATTGGCAGTTAAACGATATTTTGGCAAAGCCTATGCCCTCGCTTCCAGAGTTCACAAAACCAGCAGAGCTGTACTACGACGAAAAAGAAAGCAAAAAGTATCACAAGAACTCTAGAATCATTAAAGTGCAATCGGAAATGGCAGAAAGGGCCATTGATCTCCTGGAAATAGATGATAAGTCACCATTGATCCTGGACATCGGTTGTGGAAGTGGGCTGAGTGGAAAAGTTTTGGCTGAAAGAAATTGCGAATGGATTGGAGTGGATATCTCACCAGAAATGCTAAAAATAGCCTCAAGCAATACATCAAGCAGCGGATTGATCTGCTTTGATATTGGAAACGGATTTCCATTCAAGGAAGAGTCTTTTGACTACGCCGTTAGCATCAGCACCGTTCAGTGGCTTTTTCATTCATTTCAGAAGGATCACATTCCACAAAAGCGAATTAGATCCTTTTTCAGGTCTCTTTATGACACAGTTAAAAAAAGAGTGGTAATTCAGTTCTATTGCTCTGAGAAGCAGGTTGAAATGCTCAAAAACGAGGCAATTAGGGCTGGGTTTGATGGAGGATTGGTAACTGACGGTGAAAATACAAAAAACTGTAAAAACTTTCTCGTTTTGAATAAGTATACTGCCAAACCAAATACCAAAAAAAGTAACCAATCCAAAAGCTCAATATAAGAGCTCTTAAAAAACCAAAAAGACGATGATGTGTGACGATGTCCCTTACCAATACGCATGGTTGGAAATGAGCAACCACATTCTGTCTATTAAAGTTTAAAACAAACATGAAACGCCCAAGTTTTAAAAGCTAGATTGCAAATCAGAGATGCATGAGCCATTTGAAGAGTGCTAGTGATTATGAGCAGCAAGAAGAAGAGAGGCTTTTGAACATTCTCAAAACAAGCGATTCCCATCTCCAACTAACAGCCTTTAAAAGATTAGTGAAAATTTATAAAAGAAGGCCTGAAAGTGAGCACATTTATAGCTTTCTTGAAAACCACAATTTTAACGACCATGAAACTGTTAATTTTCTGCTTGAGTGTCTTTTTGAGTTTTTTGGTTATGGGGAATCTTCAAACGATGGCACGAAAGAGCGCTGCTCGACTATTATGAGAATTGAAAAAATATACCAGAATGAGAAAATAATGCAAAGCCTGGTATCTTTGGCTAAATGTGCACATGCACAGACGAATGCTTTGGTTGTTTTGGTTCAAATTTTGCAAATTAAGCCCTGCAGAGAGCAATGGGTTGATGATATTGTTGGTGTGTTCTACAGTACTAGGCGAAGAAGCATAGAAAATCTTACTGGGAAGATTATACTGCTGCTGATAAGGTCCGATCACAGATTTAGCTATTTATCGTTCAGTCTAATTCAGCACAAGCTTAGTAGCCATGTTTTTGACGAAGATTTCACCTCAGCAGAGAATGTCGATGGCTTAATATTCAGAGAAATTAAAAGATCATGGGAGGAAGACCAAGAGTTTGGTGTGGTGCAGTATATGGATCTTCTGAAGAATAACGATCTGTGCTTTTTGGTTAGATTCGCTAATCAAAAGTTTATCAAGGAGCACACTAGTGAGATCGATGAGAGAATAGATGATATTTCGGAGTCATATTTAAATGCAATTCAATCATGTGAAGGCAATAAAATGGTAATTCTAGAGCACATGTCTCTCCTTCTGGACCATTCGGAGTTGTTTGTGATGCAGCTCACGAAATCTAGGTTCTTAGATGTTCTATATGGTCTCACAGACAGTGAAAATAAAGATTTAGCATATCTTTCAACCAAAATTATCAGTAAAATACTAATAACATACCATGAAAAATAGCATAAGGCGCCCTCATAATTTTTGTTTCCAAAATGCCCCAATGATTTCTAGAATAAAGCTAGTCCACGTTGGAATAACAATTATGTATATTTCTCTGTGTTACATGCATCTGTTTATGTTTCAATCAAAATTTCTTGCACTGGCTGTATATTCTCCTTTAATTTTTGTGAACTTCGTGATTTGGACTATCGTTTTAAGGATGTCTATTGAAATGTACAAAACCAATATGCCTGACGCAAAGATAATTTAAAAATGAGTTTTGATCGAGCTCTCACAGCCAAAATTCACATGAACATTTTCTGTAGTGGCAATACAACTTTTGAGCTTTATGCTACCGCATCCTAGGCATGACACAAGCTCCAAGCACAATCCAGAAAATTGCTAGATGCGTTGAAAAAATTGCTCCCAGGGATTGTGTGCAGCACTGGGACAACACAGGCGTTCTGATCGATGGCAATACTCCTGATCTGCTCAGAAGAAAGTCCTTTTGACAGTTGACTTTACCCTGTCTGTTCTTAACGAGTGCATCGAAAAGAACATAAAGTACGTTGTCAGCTACCATCCCGTTATTTTCCATCCAATAAAAAGGATAGAAGGCAGGCTATTGCCTTCGTGTATTCAGAACTACATTTCAGTATATTCCCCTCACACACAATTGGACCCTCTGATGAATTCATATGTCTTGGAGTTTTTGGGTCCCCAATCCAGGTACATTTGAAAACATTCTGCAGAAAATTAAAGAAGTTTCCGGCTTAAAACATTTGAGAGTGGTCAAAAGTTCAAGCACATCCTACAGAAATGACGGAGACATCATTGTCGGTGTTGGTGCAGCATTCAGAAACGTGGATCTACATGATTGCATGCTTATTACAGGTGAGATGTCTCATCACGATCTACTGAAATGTAAATTTTCCGGGGTTGATGTGATAATGATGGAGCACAGTAATTCGGAAAGGATATTTCTAGGGGAGCTAAAAAGACAACTTGAGTGTGATGATGAAATGGATGAGTTCGATGTTATTATTAGCGAAAATGATAGCGACCCTGTTAGTATTGTCTAATAAAATTAACCAAATTTGCTTTATATCATTTACGCCACCATATCAATCTAAAAGCATTGAGTGGAAAGACGATTTATTAATCATGTAATTATAACACCTTGTTTCTAGATGACATGGAACTTGGATAGTTTTCTAAGCACTATTTCAAGATAGACTGGGTTGTCCTTGTGGAACTCTCTGAGTAACTCTACGAATAGTTTCTTATCATCCTCCTTTAGTCTGAACTTATCCTTGTAATATTCCAAGTAACTAAAGAAATGCGAAACTGAAGGTGAAGTAAGTTTAAGAAAGGCATCTAAAAATTCTTTAACATTGCTAAATTTCATCTTACAAAACTGTGAATGGGATATCTGAGGCAGCTGGAAGTCTTGGAATTTTCTTCCTAGGAGGAGACCCAAGTAATACTTGTTGCAGACCTTTAGACAGTAATCAAGAGTATTCCCGGTCATCAGCTTCCTCAAAATACCAGCTTCATTATCAAGAGCATCGGATGGCTCCTTGCCACGGCTGCTGTAGATGTTGCTATCACTAAAATAGTTCATAAAAATTGATGCAATTATTTCATTCTTCATTTTAAACTCCGGCAGCCTCTTTTCCAAAGACTCAAGAAATCCATAGAATCTGCACATCTGAATAATTAGCGATGTGTTAAACATATTCTGGTCTTTTACAGCATAGTCAATAACACACTCGTGTGGAAGCTCACTAAGTCTTAGTAGACACTCTCTGTCATTGCATCGCAGCTCCCTAATAATTGAATGGCAGTAAAAATTTTCAAGCCGATTTTCAAAATTATTAATTTCATGAGACTCGAGAGCTAATGATGAGAAGATGGAACTAACAGGCTCTATATCTGGAATATTGGTCTTGGCTCCCAGATATGTAGCATAGATGCATCTACTAAATGCAGCATCCCTGTCTGCTGTACTTTCTTTCAACACATCTCTGATTCTACTTTCCAAGCTTGGATTCCTATTGATGCACTCAACGATAAACCGCGACATAATGCTTGAAGCAAAAGGTGCATGGTCGATCATATCTCTTAGAATGGAAATAAGTCCCTTGGTGTCATGAAAGTCTGTTTTCTCTACTACTTCATTGAAATTCTCACGTGCCAGGCAAAGAATGTGCTTCATTATGGGGTATGGAAAGATGGAAGATCTAAAAAATCAAGTTAAATGCCCACACTAGTGAGCATAGTTTCTAAAGTCTGTGCTGTGTTTTATTGTAGCTGTGCATGCCTCAAAGAAGATAGTCACTCCCATAGCTGATTATATATTAAATGTATTTCATACCAAAGATCATTTATTCAAAGAAAAAGACTATATTATCACTGAAATGGAGTAACTTGCTTTCTGAAAGATCTTCAAGAACGCTACTCAAATCTTCAGTGCTGAATCCTATTGCCTGCTGAAGATCAACGAGGCTACAGGTTTCTTGGTCAGGATTACTAACCTTCCAGTTAAAAATAGCGTCTCTGATCCTGCTGCGTAGATCATCTGTAAGCCTTTGAACAAGAGTAGCTGGCTCACCTTCTTTTTCAATCTGCGATGCACTTGTTTCTTCGATCTTTATTCTCTTAATTGTTTCTTTCCTAACGACCTTCCTTATTAGATTATTGCGCAGCAATTCAATGGCCGCATTAGCATCATCGATGTCGACAGTCTCGCACAGCCTTAATTTTGCATGTGCTGTGCTGAGTCTTATCAATGTCTCAAGCATTCTTGGTGTAATGTTTGTCATTAAATGCTTTTTATCTTTGCTCTCTCTAATTTGTGCATACTCCTTGGCTATAGCATTCGCGGCCTCACGACTCAACTTCGGTCTAAGTGACTTGGCATACGCTATAAAGTCTTTGAAGAGTGGTTGGCTGATTTCTGTCTCATTCTTCCCCTCGGAAATATGCATATTCAGCACATGCTTGCTTATTGAATCATCCCTCTCCGAGTCATAGCTATCCAAGGTTATAAAAATCAAATCAAAACGAGTGAGAAGAGATTCAGGAAGCTTTATATTGTCCTGAACAGACATCCTCTCGTTGTATGATCCCAAGATTGGATTGGCTGCTGCAAGCACAGAGCATCTGGCATTGAGCGTTGTGTGAATTCCAGCCTTGGCAATTGTTACTGTCTGTTGCTCCATCACCTCGTGAATAGCAATTCTGTCGAGAGGGCTCATCTTGTCAAATTCATCAATGCAGACAAGGCCGCGATCTGCTAACACCATCGCACCAGCTTCGAGCCTTTTATCACCAGTTTCCTTGTCCAAAACAACAGCAGCTGTAAGGCCGACTCCGCTGGATCCCTGACCAGTGGTAGCAATGCTAAGAGGCATGAAGTTGAGTGCATAGCGTAGCAGCTGAGACTTGGCTGTAGATGGATCCCCAACCAACAGTATGTTGATGTCTCCCCTAATTCTACTTCCATTTTTCATAACAACTTCATTACCTCCCACCATCATTAGTGCCAGTGCCTTTTTGATTTCCTCATGTCCAAAGATTGTAGGGGCTATTGCACTAAACTTGATGCTAGATGATGCCAAGAGTTTAAATGTGTCTAATTTCTTGCTAAGCTCTTCCATTTGGATACTCTCTAATGCTTTAAGATACTGGATGTTGTTTGTTATCAAAACTGTCCTAAATTGGGACGGGAAAACGCTATTTCCATAGCAGAAGCTTTTATAAATTCCATACACTCTAATTCTGTCTCCAGGTTTTGTGGCATCGACAAGATCCTCCGTGAGAATGCATTCAATGCTTCTTGGCAGCTGTCCAGGCGGACTGTTTTCGGGCATTTCCTGTATTTTAATGGTCTGGAAATCTACATATTCACTCAATCCAAACTCGCTGTTCAAAGTATGGTTGTTTTGGTCTTTAAGAGGATAAATGAAATTGGTGGGTGGAAGCTTGGTCACCATTGTGCCATCTCTGTATTCTTTGTCATAAAATTGGTCCTCTGCCTCACAGTAGTGCACACTTCTTCTAAGCTTTGGCCTTACTAGTGAGACGCTTGTAACGATGCCTTCAATACAGATCATTCTGCTGATAAAGGTGGAATCAATAGATCTGGGGTTGAGGGAATTGGCCCCCAGGGATCCAGAAAATCCAATATGCATGGCTTGCTCCATGTCTTTCAGTTCTTCCTCAAACCAGGGCAAGCATGAAGCAGGATTGTTAAGAATGTGTAATGAAAGATCCTTGTCAAACATTCTCAGCTCATTCATGTCTATTATAACTCTTTCCTTCTTCTCGGGGTTTAACTCCTCGTTGTGTGTAGACAGATACTCTCGAAATTTCTCTATTGCTAAGGATGCATCCATGGGCCATAAAAATTTTAGGCTAACTAACTAACAATACGAATCAGCTGGCTTTCTGTCCATATTCTATTGGCCTACTGGCACTCTTAACGGTATATACTATCAATGTGGAACGACCAGTCTTTGTGGTTATTTTGCTGCCTATCCCCACCCCAGGAAGAATGCAAAAAAGTAAATTTAAATACATGATTTTCAAGATATTAGCTTTAGTATCCATTCTAAGAAACATCAGGAGAATTCATAGGTCTAGAAATTCAGTTTTGGAGAACTCTATGCTGCTGATTGCCCACCCTGATGATGAATCAATGTTTTTTTCACCCTTCTTGTTTTACAACACTCCTAACATTATTCTTTGTCTTTCAAACGGAGATTTTAACCTGCAGGGAGGCAAAAGAGAAGAAGAAATGCAAAGACTGTGCAAACAGAGAGGATGGAGTCTTAAGATTCTTGGCTACAGAGATGGTAATGAGTGGAATGTTGACAGAATAATTGTTGATATGTTAGACACATGCATCAAATACAATATTAGAAATGTCATTACTTTTGATCAAAATGGAGTTTCAGGCCACAAAAACCATATCTCATGCTACAAAGCAGCCAAGAAACTCAATAGGCTATTAAGAAATCAACACTTGAAGTTTTACTGTCTCAAAAGTGTCAGTGCATTTGAAAAGTATATTTACTCATTTGGAAAATCAACACATGAAATACCAATATACTCGTGGTTTGGCATGCAGAACATGCTTTTCCACAATTCACAGCTAGCATGGTTTCGCTACTTGTATATTTTTTTCAGCAATTACATGTATTTTAATGAAATCCATGAAATACCTGAGTAAAAAGATATTTTTATCGTTTCTTGGCCATTAAAATATACTCAAACAGTAAAGTTTATGCCTTAATTTCGCTACACATCCAAAAGTTTATTTATATGCTGCACTATGTCATGGCCCAACTGGGAATAGCACCCAGATCTTCAGAAACTAAAGTTTTAATTTCAGGGTCTTCTCCACCAATGAATATCAGTCCCCCGTCAATCGAAAAATCGTTTATTCGAAATCCAGGATCTATCACATCTTCCAAGCTAGAAACATCTTCTTGGATAATATAAATCCTCTCGTTTGCTGCTGCAATCAGTTTTCTATCTGAAAACTCAATTTTCTGTATAAAGTAATTGAAATTAAGATGTTTAAGAGGTCTTGAAGATCTAAAATCATACTCGAGCAATTCTCCATTTTCGCTCCCAATAGCGTATTTCAATCCCGACCCATCTTGCGCTACTGAAAGTAATTCGCTGCCAAATGTATGAGTAATGATATTATCTTTGGATCTCGTATCTACAAATATCAGAGACTTCTTTGAAATAGCGCCCAGCAGTCCATGGGTGTCACTCCAGGACATTTTATTGCCTGCTACAGGAATACTCTTCAGAAATCTGCCTTGCTCCAGATTAAATCGGTAGACCTCACTGTAGTTTCCACCGAGATACAGCTCGGAACTAACAGTGTTGAACACCATGTCTTTCGGCTGATTTGGAGTTTTTACCTTCTCGTGGAATCCGCCTTTGGTATGAAACTCGATCGCTTTGTCACTTCTTAGAATTGAAAACTTCTCTGCATCATCTTCCAAGCTTACAACTTTTATAGGATCGCAAACCATGTGTCTTTCAAATTTCATCATGCCAGACTTGAAATCAAAGAGTTTAACTGTCGGTTTATACACTCCAGCAGCCAGAGCTTTGCATCTATCTTTTGAAATACAAATACTATGGCATGCTACTGAAAATTGAAATTCGCTCAGCGGTGTGATCTCTTGGAATCTTAACTTTTTACTTCGCATTATCTATGAGGGTTATAGAAAGAAGTTGCTCAAAGGAGCAAATGCATCTGGCAATACAAGCTAATAAGACATTGGAAATGCAGAATAAGGGCTACATAAAGTGCGAAATCATAAACTGAAGAGCATCTATAACAATCGCATGCCATTAGCATGGTCAGCGAGAATACCTGCAAATATAGTATTTCCTTTGGCTTTATCAATCTGTGTACAAGCTTGTAATTCATCTGATAAATTTTATCAAAAATTAAAATACTTGACCAAAATTATCCAACCCACAGTATTATTGTAATTTTGTGTTTGAAACACTGCTTTGGAATCTAGTAAGTTATTAGCTGACTTTAAAACACCCTCAATCTTCAAATAGTTTGAGAAGACAGTGAAACCAAGTTTCAGAACGGCTATAAATATTCTCTTAGTTCGGTTTTCAAATGATTTACGCACTTTTGTATATTTTAACTGTGCTTGCTCAAAGTGGTAATCCAACTAAACCTACAACAAGTTCGGTATCGGCAAGTGTTTCGAGCGTGTCTTCTAAGCAAAATGGCAGCAACACATCTTCAGCGTCCAAGAGCGAGTCTAAGGCTTCCAGCTCTGTTCCTTCAAGTGTATCTGCCTCTAAGATTGTCTCTAGCAGCACAATATGTGTCGAATGCTACAACAAAATTAAAACTAAAGACTGCCAGCCATGCGAATGCAAGTGTGGGGATGGCACAAAATACACATTCTCGCAGCCCGAAAAGAATAGCCAGTGTCCTAGGAATCCCGAGAATGTTCCATGTGCATGTAAAGATGATTTGGGACATATTAAAGAAGATGCAACCTATGTAAAAGGAGTAACAAAGGGAAACTCGTGTGTAAGTGATTAAATTAATAGTTGTATTGATTCATATATTTAATTATATCATTCGAGTCTTTGAGGCTAAAACGACTATAAAACAAATGTCTTAAATGGATGAAATCAAAAATGTTTTTAACCGTGTATGCATAAATAATCCAGTGTATATTAGCAATAAGCTCGTATATTATTTTACACATCCCACAGTGCAGTATTTAATGTGTTGTATATGTGACATTTGAAATACCATTTTAACACTGGACCTTGAGCTCATATGACTGAGCGATCTATAAGTAGTTTCTTTGATTAGAAAACAATGTGAAACAATTTAAGTCTGTGCTGCACACAAACAATGCGAGACCTGTTTGTTATACTATTTGCATCGTCTATTGTCATAGCATGCATATTAGCCCTGAACATTGCCACCTCTGATAAGAAAACAAAACACAGACAAGAGTACAGAATAGGAATTACTGGTGCACTGCTATTTATGTTTATATCATGGCTTGTGGTATACATTGCAAACATTCATCCGTTTGTAAATCCTGAGTTCAAGAAAGAAAAACGGCCTGATTTTTATAGATAAAGTTGTATTCATTAGAACAGTAAAGCTTTTCGTTCCGCAACACTGGTATATTGTTGTGAGCTCTAAATAAATGATCTGCAAAATCACCGAAAAGATGGACACTAGTTTCTCCAAAATACTTTTGCACAGTAGTTTACAATAAGGTTCATAGCTCTTGTTTATTTATGTTTCATTATGTTTTAAATACCTAAAAAATATTAATTCTCATGGCTGCAAAAAACGACAGTGCATCCTCATTTGGATACACAAGCGTCCTTGCCATTTTTACTTCATTCTTCATTGCTGTTGTAATCGGCCATATCAGAGATCAGATGGGTAAAATTTTCATACCATGGCGGTATCGATTCTATTATGAAAGCGAGAATGGCGAGCCCGCCCTGTTCACCACATTTGACAGCTTTTTCATCAGAAGACTCTACAGAAGGATATCGGACTGTTGGAACAGGCCTATTCACGGCGTTCCTGGCCGATTCGTTGAAATTTATGAGAGAAAGAGTGAAGACTACAATGAAACTTTTCAGTTTACAGGTGAGAAGATCAAAGCCTTAAATGTGGGATCATACAACTACCTTGGATTTGCATATAACAAAGGTAAAATTACGGACCATGTATTGCAGAGTGTTGACAAATACAACATTAACAATTCATATCCAACTGCAGACTATGAGCAAAATCCGCTGTGCCGGGAACTAGAAAAAGAAATGGCGGAGTTTCTGCACCAGGAAGACTGCGCAGTGTTTTCGATGGGATATGGCACAAACACATCATCAATGCCTGCGCTGATGAGAAACAGCCTGATTTTCAGTGACGAAAAGAGCCATACATCATTGATAAAGGGGATTAAGCTGAGCCAGTCGATGGTTGTAATTTTCAAGCACAACAATATGCAGGATTTAGAAAACAAGCTGAAATTTCATATTACCCAAGGAGAGCCTGAAACCCATCGTCCATGGAGCAAGATCTTCGTTGTTGTTGAAGGACTGTACTCTATGGAAGGCACAGTTGTTAATCTGAAAAAACTGGTTGAGTTGAAGAAACAATACAAGTTTTACATTTTCATGGATGAGGCACACTCAATAGGGGCGATGGGACGAACAGGCCGTGGAATCTGCGAGTATGTGGGAGTCGAACATGATGACGTTGACATTCTGATGGGCACCTTCACCAAGAGCTTTGGTGGATTTGGTGGATATATTGCAGGCAAAAGAGAAATCATAGACTATCTCAGAGTAAACAGTGATTTTTCAAAATATGGAGAGCAAATGTCACCAATCGTGTGTGCTCAAGTGATGGAATGCCTAAGAAACATTAAGCTGGATCGTAAAAGATTGGAAAAGCTTCACGAGAACACCAGAAGAGTCCGAAGAGCAATGAAAAATCTTCGATTTCATCTAATTGGTGACGACGACTCGCCAATCATTCCGCTGCTCATACCCTCGCCTGGGAAAATTGGAGAGTTTTCTAGACTGTGTTTAGAGATGGGAATAGCTGTTGTGGTTGTTGGATATCCAGCAACGCCCATCTTGCTTAACCGAGTGCGGGTTTGCATGTCATCCTCACATACAAGCGAGGATGTAGATAGGATTATTACAGTTTTTGATCAAGTTGGAAGTCTTATTGGAATGAAGAAATAAATATACTAAACAGTAGTAAACGCATGTTATGTTGTCATATAAAATGCATGGCCTCATTTAAGTAAATGTACACCTTATAAAAACATCTAACAGTTTAAAAACTATTACTAAAGTTATCCTTCTCCAAAAATGGACTGTGAAGAAACCGAACACGAAATTCACGAGGCTTTTGAAATCAAAGAGGACGACGAGCTCTACACGGTTGACATTTGCCCATCCAAGAAACATGTCATATTTGGAGGCAAAAGTGAGACTGCCGAGGTTTACAGCTATGAAGAAGAGAGAGCTATCACAAGGATAGAGGAATTCTCGGATTCGGTTATTTATGCTAAGTTTGTATCTGAAAATCGATTTGTTATTGTCACTACGGATGGGACCATTGCCCTTATGGAGCATAGCGGCGACGTTTGCATTGTTGATCTGGAGGAGGATATTTCTGTTGCAAAATTTAGTGAAAAGTTGGTTGTGGGTGCATCTTCAGGTAGAGTGTATTTGTACGATGCATGCTTAGAACATATCAACACCCTTGGTGGGCATTCATCTGAAATAATCAGTGTGGATTACAAGGAAGGAAGAATTTTGAGCATGTGTGCCAATTATCTAATTGCCCATGACGAGCAGGGAAGAGTGCTTTACACCTTGAAGGCCAGTGAAGCATATGCCTTTAAGTACATCACGTCCGACGTTATATGCTTTGCGAGAGATGGCAAAATTCAAATTTTCAAGCAAACTAGAAAGCTATTTGAGCATAATATTGAAGAGAGAGTGGAGGACGTTGAAATTGTTGGTAAAAGCTTAGCTGTAGGAGGAGAATTTGATTACATCTTACTTATCGACACCACCGGTCACTACGCTACATTTAAATTGGATGTTAAAACGGAGTTAACATGATTAAAAAGACAGAAAACCATGGAATAGTATTCAGCACAGTCAACGGACTCATAGGATCGCTAGATATTAGAAATATAAACACACTCAAGTTCTTTTCTCCAAACGTGGGCGTCATTTTCGATTTTTGTGTTTCTGGACCTGAAGTAGCCGTGGTTGGCCAAAATGGATTTGGAATGATTAACACAGAACGTGACCCATCTGTTGAAATGGCAGAATAAAGCCTGCTAACACATTAAATCTAAACATTTATTTGCCAAAGCTATTCAATAGAAGCTACTTTTGCAAAAATCAGTGTAGTCTGTATACCAAGCATATTAACTAATTAAAATAGATTTAATATCATTGTCTTGGTGCTTAGTGAAATGGCGATTGTACGTGCATATACAATAGAATTTAAAAATCAATGTCAGGAATCAACAGCTCATCAATGGGCCAATCCTCAAAGCTTCCATCTGGCAACTTACGTCTTATTATAAAAGGAAGCTTTCTCTCAGCCAGCTCTTTCTTTGCTATTTGAATACAATCAACTAAGTCTCCAATATCCACAAAGGGCGGAGCGTCGTCGTTCAGCTGTGCTGCTCTTACTCCAATTATATGAGCCTTCTCGTATATTGTCATTCTATTTAATGTTATTCTTGGTTTGGGATGGACTTCCTGTTCTTTGTCTGTGTTTACAATTTCTGACGAATAGCTCATTCCTGGGGCTTAAAATTTTTCAGTTTAAACGAGTTGAAGGGTGTTTCTACATTTCTTGTTTAATTTTAACTGCTTGACAAGGTAAATCCAAGCAAGCATGCTCCTTTTATCGTAAGTTTGGCAACATTAACATCAGATAATACGTTTCAACAATTAAAAATCGTTAGTGCTATGTGTTTTCAAACAAACCATGTCCATGGCATAGCCTAAAGCCAACAATGAAAGATGCTTTATCAACATATTGTATGCTCATCGCATTACAGTATTTCACGCATTCTAAATCCCTGTTGTATTCATTTACTCTTTGCATTTTCTGCATTTTATTTTCACCCCAGATGATCATAAGTATTTTTGTGTTGGACTTACACGATGGTGCAAAGCTTTACAGGTCATCAGCGCCAATGTCCTCCTCAAAAATGAACTACTATCTCACAGAATTTAACAGCCTAGCAGTAGATTCTGAGGGATTCATAGAAAAGGAAACCTATAACTATGTTTACATCTCTAGCAATGTTCAGAAAATAGGTATGCAAGTTACAAAAGACCATTCACCAAAACAAGCACACGCTCTTTTGAAATACATTGAACAGAATAGTACGGAGGATATATTTGATGTGCTTTTTACTATTGACAACACTCTTTTTGGTGGCATTGGAGTTAGACTTGATCTACAGCCTATCAAAGAGATGGATTCGCAAGAAGAAAAGATATACAAAATGATGATTGAGAATAAACGATTGGAAATGGCACAGAGGGAAAAGGAATACAAGATGAGGATTATTCAGGAGCAGAGTGTTTCGCAAATAGAACAACCATCAGTGGCTGTCAAGCCAAAGAAGATAGAAAAGTCATTGCAGCCTGTGCTATTGATAATTAGAGAGAAAGTTAAACTTGAAATTGACAGAGACAACCAAATTAAAGAAAACAGCTTGAATGGGGAGATTGACCTAGTTATTTCTGATGCTAAGTACAGGCAGGTGCAAATTAAAATGAAGAATCTTAGACCAACACTGAAGTTCAGTCCGTACTTGGACAAGAATGCGTTAAAAAGACAAATTTTAAGATTTGAGAAGGACAGAGGGTTGAATAAGAACATTCCGCTGTTAAAATGGACAGGGAAGTGCTCAAATGCACCCTTGCTTTTTGAGTTTTGGAGTGATGAGGACGATGGCAAGTTCGTCAATATTGTTGAATTTAAGGCACTTAGAAGCATTAAGGAAATAGAGTTTAGACTTAACAAAGAAGCAGTTTCGGATATTGAAATTGATGGAAAATATGAGGAGGAAAACGAAAGAATCATTTGGAAGGTAACGGATGTCAAGAAAGATGAATCAAGAAGCATCGAAATCAGATGTTCCGCATTTGATAAAGATTGTCTATTCCCAATCGAGATAAAGCTTGTGTCTGATGCAGTTGAGACTAGTCTAGATGTTGACAAAATGCTTGTAGAGGAAAACGAAATTAAGGAATATGAAGTTAGAAAAATACTTGAAATAGAGGATTTTGTTGTTCGCACAGACTAATTAAAACTATGGTATTTGATGTGTATTGGTTTTCTAAAGTTGTTCTCTGGCCACACAGTTGAATGCCTTAGCTGGACATCTTTTGGCACTATTGCATTTCTGCTTTTCTTTAAAGCTCTTGTATCTTTAATGAAGTCCATTTAATTTGCATGCACTCTGTTTCCCTTGATAAATTTTTCAACAAAAATTTTCACCCATAATGACTGAGCTAAAGAAGAGGATCTTCAGACAGTTCAGCTACAAGGGAAGAAGCCTTGAGGAGCTCGTCGAAATGCCAGTCTCTGAGTTTGCAAAACTTGTTACATCAAGTGCAAGAAGGCATTTGCTCAGGGGCCTCAACAGATACGAAGATGATCTTATCAAGAGGGTGGATGCTGCCCAGAACAGTGATAATCCAAATGCACTCTCAGTTCCTATCAAAACCCATGAGAGATCTATGATTATTCTTCCATGTATGATTGGCTGCACTATTGCTGTGCATGGGGGAAATGGGTATTTTCCTGTTGAAATAAAGCCAGAAATGATTGGAACAAGACTAAGAGACTATGTTCCAACCAGAAAAGTTTGCACTCACGGTAGACCCGGAATTGGTTCTACAAGCGGCTCCAAGTTTACACCTCTTAAATAAATAAGTCCAACCGGCAAGTCTAAAATGGTATTAAAACTGCTCTAGCGTTAACCGTACATCTTAGTGCTTAGTCGTGTAGATGAAAACTGTTAAGCTGTGCTAAAGTATTTATTTTAAATGAATTTATCGATCTATCTTGGTATTTTAGATGTATTCCAGCTTCAAAGAAGAAATGTAGCGTGAATCGTTAAAATAAATGGTGTTCTTTTCAATGGACATTGTAGAAATGGGATTGATGTTGATTTTAGAGAACGGAAACCTTTCATAGTATGTTAGATCAGATTTTAGTATTCTCAGACTGTTGGAATATGGCGATCCGTGAATAATGAACTCGCCGTTACTAACAAGAGATGAAATGGGCTCTTTGAGATTCGAAAATACCTTGATTTCTTGGAAGTCCGAGTCAAGAATAATCATTCCGTCTTCCGTGGCTATGATCAGGTTATCTCTTACCGAGTACAGGCCTTTGAACTGAAATTTTAGCTGCAGTGAATGCTTGCTTGCAAAATTAAGCTTCTTGTCAAATGTGTAAATATCTCCATCTGCAGTCAAACAGATAACAGTGTTGGACATAATGCAAATGTCGATGAACGAATGGTTAAATTCATTTACTAAGCTCAAATTTGAGTTAAATGCAAGAAGCTTATCACCCAAGATATACAAATATATATCTGAAACCATCTTTTTAATGTTCCCCGTTCCCTTTTTAATATCTGTAACCTTTCCATCAAGAGTAACATGCTTGATATATGAAGATGTGCTACTTGAAAGCAAAATCAGTCCGTTGAAGGTGCATACATCTGTAATTTTAAAAAAGTCTATTTTAAATGTCGTATAGTCCTCAAAGCTTTTGATAAAATATATCAAATTGAACGAATCAACAAGAATCTTAATGTTGCTGAACACTTTAAATAGTTTAACCTTGCATTTGGCAGTAAACACATGTTTTGTATACTTAAAGAATATCTTCTTGGAGGTTCTGCATATTTTCTTTGGTAGTTCATCAGTGTGTAACCATGTTGCCTCATTCTCAAGTTCGTCTCTCAGATCCCTGTCATCGTCAGAATCTGTCCATGCAGCCTCCGATTCGTCATGCTCCTCAGTAGAGCTGCTTCCAAAGTAGTCCTCTTCTTGAGCTTCAGCCTCACTTCCTTCGGAGATAAGTTCATCATTCGAGAGTAAGATGTACGATTCGTCTTGCTCATCATCGTAGCTTGATTCTGTCTCGGAGCTCGAGCTATCTTCAGAGAGCTTCTCTGCCATACTTTCCGAGTTTGTACTCTTATTTCTCTCGTCTTCCTCTGAACTGACCATAGTGGATCAAAAATTTTGTAGTTTTATGAAACATGCATCAGAAAGTGCTGTATGCAAAATAAAAGGTCAATTTATGATTATAGGCTGGAAATGCCGAGTCTTGAATCGCAAATAAGCCCCAACCATCACGATTCCGTGTTTGTATAGTAGCGCCTGAGCTTTTCTACATCTCTACGTAAACTGGGGGGGGGGGTGAATAGACTATTATGTTTATGATGCAGTAGCCAGCATAGCTGTTCTTCGCTTCTATTTGCAAAAATTTTTCACAAAAATTTCACCCCAGAATGCCTCAAAAACCAAGAGTATCGCAGTCAAGAAGAAAAATGCGAAAGGCTTTCTTTACTGCAAATAGAGGCCAGATTCGCAAGATGATGTCTAGTAGGCTCTCAAAGGAGCTCCGCTCCTCATATGGCTTCAAGACATTTCCCATTCATAGTGGAGATTTTGTTACAATAACTACAGGAAAGTTCAAAAATAAGGAAGGAAAGGTGCTTTCTGTCTCAAGAAAGACCCGCAAAGTTACTGTTGAGGGATGCACGAATGCCAAGGCATCTGGTGGATCTGTACTCTATCCCCTTGATCCATCCAATTTGATTATTAAAAGTCTGGCATTAGATGAGTTCAGAATTAAGTCTTTAGAGAGCAAAAAGGCTAGAACTGAGTCTGCAAAGCAAAGGTATGCAGCAGTGGTTGAAAGCAATTAAAGTATTCTATGAAGCCCATATTGGATGTTAATATTAGCGCTATTTTTGCATTATTCTAGTATGTATAGTGTGTTATACCTAGCAATCGTTTGAGGTGGCATGGTATTTACTTGATAAATTTGTGGATTCTTTACATTAATGTATATGCTTACTATTTTTACCATGTTTGTCTGCTATTCCGATTGCCCTGGCATGTTTTCATCTTCAGTCATTTCTAGCTTGTGTCAATGGCTAGCCTATACTTTAGCCGTCGTGTATCTTTGATGAAAAAATTTGCCCTTCCTGCCATGCACATCCCGCAAGATTTCATTCCGGACTTTACTTGTAAGACTACAACTGGGGCATTATGCAATAGACATAGTATTGTTCAATATAAAGACAGCAAGTGCTATGTTTCGTTAAATAATAGACTCAATCTTTGGGATCTAAACTCCACAGAGCTACTGAAGTCTTTTGGAACCAGAAGCTATAGAGTCACATCATTCTACGTGAGTGAGCATTATTTGTTCATTGGCTATGAGGATGGATCCATTGAGATTATTAGAAACAATGACTTCAACAACAATCAACTTATTGAATTGAACGAAAGTACAATACTGAAGATTCATCCAAAGAGGGTCTCAAAAATCATTGTCATGGACGATAGGATGATATCTGCCAGCACTGGTGGCACTATCTGCTGCTATGATCTTCTTTTATCCGAGATGCTTCACTATTTCAAGGGTAACAGTGCGTCTGTTGAAAACTTAGTGCCTTTGAATAATTCGAAGTTTTGTGCTGTTTGCGGTGACAAGTCCATTAAGATATGGAATGTGGATTCTGAAGCCATTGAAGATGCCATTGCTTTTGATGGATACGTTTTTGATGCTGTCATAAAGGGCGAGGAGGCGCTGGTTTTTCTAAAGACTGGAAGCTCGCATTTTGTAAATTTATCGGATAAATCTATGAGGCCCTTTGAAAAATTTAGAAATATCAGGAATGTACGTTTAAAGAGCAACATTCTGTGCATACAATGTCAGAGGAAAACGTCTATATTCGAATCAATGAAAGAAAACTCGCTTGGACTTCATCTTCTGAAAAGATTTGAGAGTAGTACGGATTACTCCAACTTTGATTTGGTTGGGAAAGATCCTTGCTTTATCTCCTTGTCAAATAGAATTGTGCTTGGAAATAATATTTACACTTTTGGGTTTCATGAAAATGATGTTACCGGTATTAAAATTGAAAAATCCAGAATATACAGTTTATCAAAAGATAAGATTGTTGTCTGGGAAAGAATGGTTGACAATTTATTAGCCACAAGCGAAAATGCCCAAACACTAGGCAATGAGTTTGGAGAAGAAAAGCTAAGCAAGGAGTCTCTCGTTGTTAATTCTTGTATAAACTTGAGTGGTGCAACATGCTTTGCTTTTTTCTGCAGTCAAATTGTTGTTGGCACAAACGAAGGTGTTCAAATTTTTGATAGCAAATTTTACGAAATCAAGTCTGAACTAAATATAGGCAAGGTCATATCAATTGACTCCATCGAGACAGCACTCGCAGTGTGCACTGGAAATGTCATTAGATTCTACGATTCTGCATTTAGTGAGTGTAACACAATTACAGTGCCTGAGACAGTTGTCTATTCACGGTTCTCGCCTGAAGGAGATTATTTCCTATGCTCGTGTCTGGATAATAAAATATACCAGTTTAAATATCCGTCTCTTGAGCTTAGAGTTGTCCTGTATGGGCACTCCCTGCCGGTAAGACACTTCAGTATTTCGGCTGATCAAAAGCTGCTAGTCAGTTGTGGAGCTGATAAGCTTGTAAAGATTTGGGGTCTTGAGTTTGGCGAGTGCAGAAAGACCATTGTTGGAGATTCAGCCAATGTTGAGTTTCTAAATGACACCCTGTTCATATTTTCAGACAAAGAGTTGCAGTATTTCAACTACTTCGAGCGACTGAAAAAGCTTAAAATGTTTAATCCCGGTGCAATTTGCATTGGACACGACTATTTTGTCGTTGGCACTGGCAGTGGACTGGCAGTGTTTGGCATGAGCAAATATGAGCTTGCAAGAGACGATGAGTCAAGTGAGCTTGTAACAGTTTCCCCAAAAAGCATTGCCGATGTAAGAGATTATGACATGTTTCTGTGTCATTTGGAAAGACTAGAGACCGACTTCTCAGACCCAAGCGTCCAGGAATTTTACCAATTTATTGAAAAGTTAGACTTCAACGAATTGAAAAAATACCTGCATGTTATTGACCATGTTTCAATTAGAATACTGCTTGAGGTGATTGCACAAACTATTGATTTAAATCCGCTAACAACTTCAAGAATGTTTGTCCAGCTTGTAAAGAATCATAGGGATGTTGCACATACTGATACTTTTAGAAAGATCTACTCTAAAATGCTTGAGAGAGTAAGAAATACAAGGGAGCTTTACAACACCAGCTTAGCACAGCTTGATGCTGACTTAAGCAACTATACAATTGACTAGCAATATACTTCTGCTAGATATATGTACCGTACATTAAAAATAGTAAAAAAATTAATTCAGATACTATTTATTATTACTTAACGTCTTTCTTGCTGAGAATAAACTTGAGCTTTATAATTTTATTTTTTATGTCTTCTGGTAAATCAGCGAGGTCATTTTCACCCATATTTGTAATTCTTTCTGCTATCTGTTCTTTTTGTTTACCAACATCAAATGAGCTTTCAACCAGCTCAAGCACTTTATCTTTACTGACCAGATTGAGTTTGACCAGCACAGTCAGAATGGAAACAACAAGCGAAGGGTTTCGATCAAGAAGCTCTTTGAACTGTGTTGGCTGGTCTATAACCATCTTTTTCAAATACTCAATTACTTCTTTGAGATAGTTCTGGTCAAAGGAATCAAGAACAGACATGATACTGTCGATCTGCAAAGTCTTGACAGGAAAGTCCTTTGTCTTCTGAGGCAGATCATTCTCTGCATAGTTTATCTTCACTGGTCTTCCATTAAAGCTTATCTTCAGAGTTTTCATTGCTGTTTCTGCAATCAGCGGAGACTCGTATTCGCAGAATCCATATCCCCTTCGACTTACCAGTGTTTTTATCATACATCATTCTGAAGGACACAACTTTTCCCACCGCACTGAGCTCCTCTATTACTTTCTGCTCGTCTACATCGAAGTCTATGTTTCCAACAAAGACGCTACAGCCTTGTTTCATGAGAGAGGGGTCGAAAAGCTATTCAAAAATATGCTCAAAGACAAAACCAAATGGAGACTATTTGCTCATTCCCAGCGTCATTGCACCTCTGTAGCAGATATATAAAATGGGAGGACACCTATTTATTCAATAGCTCCTTAACTTCTTTGACGACATTTGAATATTCCTCGTCGGACAGTTTAATTGTAGAGTATGAGCGGAACTTGAATGAGCCAGAAGAATTACACTCGACTAGATGCAAATGCACATGAGGAACAAGCTGTTGATTGATGTTGTTCTGAATAATGTTGTATTTCTCCATTTTGAGTCTCAGGGCTAATGTTTTTGCTAGAACCAGCAGCTTTGCAAGAATTGAGTCCTCACACATGTGGAGAACTGGTGAGTGCTGCTTGGGAATAACCAATAAATGTCTGTTGCTCATTGGATACCTGTCAACAATAACGTATAAATCCTCAGTTTGGTAGACGATATTTTCGGTGACATTCTTAAGCTTGCAAAAAAGGCAATCTTTTGAATCCATGGATAGAAAATTTCTAAGAATTTAATCAACACAACCATCAACAATTCACCCACAGCATACTCATCAGATATTGCTGGATGCTTATAGTGCCAGTCATAAGATAGTTTGCTTAAAAGCGTTGATAAATTTTTGGCGTAGTTTTCCCATCCCGGATGCCTCTTCAAGAATTTATCGAGTTCTACCAGAAACACTTGAACTTAGACCCCACTGACCTTCAAAAATTCACAGACTCTATACAAAGCCCACTTTCCTCCGCGTTTAGAATTACTCCAACCCAGCATAGCAGTCAAATCAAGGAAAGGCTTGAAAAGTATAAATTTCTCAAAAAAATTCAGTTTTTGGAGGACGTGTACACTTTTGACTTAAAGGCGCATAAAAATACTGATGAATATACAGAGTTTATTGAACTTCTTGTTGCTCAGACTGATGTTGGCAACATTCAAAGACAGGAAGTTGTAAGCCTTCTTCCCCACAAGTTTCTACAGCTTAAACACTCGCATCGTGTCCTTGAAACTTGCGCTTCTCCCGGTAGCAAAACCAAAAATTTGCTTGAAAACATCACAGATGGAATATTGATTTCGAATGAAAAATCAAGCTCAAGAGTTAATATTTTAATAAGCGAATCAGCAAAGAAGGCCACGCCAAGTTTCATTATTACCCAGATGGACGCTGCCCATTTTCCGACCTTAAACTTCAAATTTGATAGAATTTGCTGCGATGTGCCCTGCTCCAGCGACGGTACCTGCAGGAAGAACCCTGCAATTATGCCCAAGTGGAATGTCAATGATGGTATTGGATTGTCTTCTATTCAGCTTCGTATTCTAAAGAGATCCTTGGAGCTTCTCAAAGAGGGTGGAATACTAGTTTACTCTACCTGCTCCCTGAATCCTATTGAGAATGAGTGGGTTATTCACAATGCAATCCGTGACAACCCGAACTATGAGCTAATCAACAATTTTGACTTCATACAGTATGTGGATAGTTGTGCTGTGAAGGCATCTGATAATTCTAAGATAAATGTCAGAAGGGGGTTGGTTGAATTTGAATATAAGCAGTTTCATTTTAAAAACGAGCATCTTTCAAAGTGCTTCAGAATATTACCACACGACCAAGATACTGGTGGATTCTTTATAGCTGTTATTAAGAAAGTTGCTGACAGCTGTTCAAAGGTATTTCAGCCTGTCAATGTCATAAATCCTAGATTTGTAGAGGTTGACAGCTCAATAGAGAGTAAGATTAAGAAATGTTACGACATTTCCAAGTGCAATTACCACTTTGTTTCGTCCAATTTGGGCTTTAAGAACATTTTTGCTGTTTCTGATCTCTGCTACAGCATTCTCTGCAACAACCCAAAGCTAAAAGTATCGTATGCAGGCATAAAAGCATTTACCCACTTTGATATTGACAAAGAGAAATTTAGAGCCAAAAGCCCATTTTTAGAGATTTCAAATATTTCCACTGACTTTACACTGAGCCTTGAAGATTTCAAAAAACTGTTGGAGTCCAAGCATATTCCACTGGATAAGCTCGGCATAAGGCCTGCAGGACTATTCTCCTGCAAGGTTGAAGGCACCGATTTGAGGTTCTGTGGGTTTTCAGGCGGAATGAAGGTATTTTTATATATCGATGATAACCACAGAAAAGCTTATTCGCAGTTATATTGCGTATCCAATAAACATATATGTTAGCCTGACACTTTTGTTTTCTATGAACTTATTTAATTAATTTTTTTACCCCAGCTTATCTTCTTGTATTGCCATGGAGAGTGAAGATATAAAGAAGTGTTTACTTGAGCTCTTCCCAAAACTAGATGAAAACAGAGCAAAATTTCTTGCAACAACTGGTGACGACATAAATGTGCTAATTACTAGAGTATTGGACAATAATATTGACCCGCCCACCGTCGAAATAAAGGATTTCTGCCGTGTAGATTCGCACATTGAGGACAATAAATCACTTTATCATGCAAAACCACACTACAATAATAAACACAATGCATGTTATCTAAGTGCTCAGCAATCAATACAGACGACGGCGTCAAACATTAGCTTGTATGACAACTATAACTATCCAGAGGTATTTGAGAAAACGTGCAGCATCGATATGCACGTAGATGTGGAACATCTTAGGAAGAAAGCAGCTGATTTGAACAAACAAGCATCTAGATTGTACGCAGAATCGGCTGTTCACCAGTTCAAGCAGGCAAGATGCTATTTTGGAATGCAGGCTGATGAAAAAGGAGAAAGGGCAAAGGAATTAAATAGAAAGGCGGCAATGGTTCTTATGAGAAGAATAGTTGAAGGCAGTGGTGCTGTGGATCTTCATGGATTCACAGTTGAAGAAGCAAGCAAATTCATGGATGATCTTTATAAATTTAGAAGATTTAAGAAAATCAAAGTAATAACAGGGCAGGTGCACAACAGTGCAAGAGTAAGACCAGCAATGAAAAGATGGTTTGAAAGAAATAGCTTTAGGTGTTACGATGACGGGCCCTGTATAGTCGCAGTAAAACCTCCGGAATATTAAAAATTGACACAATAGGAGGCCGTTGCAAAAAAGCTTTTTATATTAAATCCGCATAGCAATTCGTAAATTTAATTTTCGCTTCAGCTAGCTTTTGGCTTTTTCTAGCACTAGTCTCCTGCCGTATAAATGCGTGGAGCTACTGAAGTATTCGATTGCATCGTCTACGTGCCTTGGTGAGTCAAGAACAATAAAGGCAAATCCACGATGGGTCCCGTCTGATTTTTTGGGCAATCTGACATCCAGAACGTGTGTAAATGATGAGAATATCGACTTAAGCTCGTCCTGTGTGGCCTGGAATGGCACATTCTTCACGATGATTTTGTTGGTCTGCTTTTCATTTGTTGGTTTGGGGCTTTCACAATTATTTAATATGGGCTGGCCAGTCTTGTCAATCAATGATGAGTTATTGGGCAACAAGAGGCTGCTAGTCGGGGCAAATTCGCAGTAAATTACCTCGTTCTTGAATCTCCGCATATTCAGGTCTCTATAGCAGCGGGATGCATCACTGAGGTCCTTGAATGTCAAAAGTGCCAGACATTTAGAAGGCGCAATGTTCACTTTAAACTCCCCCTTAACAAGATCAAGAGCCCCCATCAGATCAGAATTTCTTAAAACTAGTACATTTTCACTTTTACCCGAAATTTTATCTAGAAAAATGCCGTTATTTTCCAAAAATTTCTTCGTCTGCGCCACGAGATTGGTCTCAAGGAGTGCGATTCTAGATCCAAGCTCCTTATCCTGCAGATTCAGAAGATCGTTTCTGTCTATCTTCTCACTTTCGCATGTTCTCTTAACAACTGTTTCAAAGCTAAAAAACAGTGAATTATAATGCTCCTTCTTCAGATCAACCAACTTTTCAACGTAGTTTCCCACCATTACTCTTCTACCTGCAATGACCTTCAAATTTTTAAAAGCTTCCTCAGCATCCTCCCTCTCTTAAATTTGACTATAGCGATTGCATGCCCAGTAGATGAATTTTTCTTTTTTTCTACTTGAACATTCTCAACTGCTCCATAGCTATTTAGACTTTCCGCAATGGCATCCTCACTCATATCCTCACCAATATTTTTGACCACGATGGTTTTAGAATATAGCGCTCTTCTTAGTTTTGTTTCGTTCGCTTCTACATTCTTACTCTCCTCTTGTGCTATCTCTACTTTTATTTTATGGTTTTTAAAGTACGTATTGTCGAAATACTTAACAGCGCTCACAGCCTCTTCGGATGACGAATACCCAATAAAGCATATTCTTCTAAATTGGTTTTTGGAATTAACGAGCATGTAGACATCGGTCACATTGCCCTGTTTTGCAAAATGTATTTCTATTTCGGATTTACTGGTTGTTTCTGGTAGATTTTTCACGACTACTCTCATACTGGTTATCTCTTGGATTTGGGGTGTAGAATTTTACAGCTTCACTCAAGAGAAGTAGCATTGTTTAGAAAAGCTCTGGGGCCTATGCTAATCTCCCATACATATTCTATCGAGCAGTTATGATCAAAAACACTAAGTGAAGTTAAAGCTCAACGTAATATCATTAACTGCTATAAGACATACAGTGGATCAATGTGCAGTGCTGCACAATGGACTTGCATTTGAATCCACGGGGTTCTGTCAACTTATTCTGGCCATGGCTGAAAACACGTGGAAATACCGTTAGGACCTTTGGGCAGATTTTTGTTGAATACTTGCAATAAACTATCAAGCCCTACCGCTTGACCACTGATATACATCTCATGTCCCATATGCTTAAGTGCCAGACCATATTTAACAACTATTTAATTTTCAGTAGTTCAGGAAGCCTCCTCGCGAATCTTCTCGGTTTGAAAATACCCGTAGTGCTGTAAATAGCAATATTGCTATTTTCAGACCAGGCACTGCATTAATCCAAACCGTTATGATTCCAAAGAACGGGATGTACCCAAACACTCCTGCACGTATTTCGCTTGGCTCCAGAAACCTCCTTCCCGGCCGGTACAGTCCAATATCGTCTAGTCTGTTGTTATCCCCCTTCGTAAGGATGTAGTCTCCTTGTTTCTTTATGACCCTGTGCACAATAGGAATTGAATTTTCATAGACCTGGTAGACGGCAATGTCTCCTACCTTGTAGGACTGCGGCGTTATAAAGAGGATATCTCCTCTTTTGAATCCAGGCTCCATGCTTTCAGACAGGACACACACGATAGGACTGTCATTGTTGAGCAGTAGTCCTATTAGTTTCCAGATCATGTAGTGTCCAATGAGAGAGTAGCTCGCAAGTACAAACTGGGTGATGTTTTGTCGTATGCTTCTTCTCTTTATTTCCTTCCAATTTAGCTCACTGAATAATAATTCCATTGGGGTGTTTTCAATACTAAACAAATACTGCATTAATTGCTGACAGCTAAAGTACTTGCCAAAGACCAAGTAGCTGGAAATCTTCTACCTAAGAAATATCGCAATGACCCAGCACACTCCAATCTAGAATGCCGGCACATTTGTGCTATAGCAACATCTAGTGACATCATAAACTACTTTGTTAGCCTGCATGAGCCCGGTTAGCTCAGTCGGTAGAGCATTGGACTTTTAATCCAAGGGCCGCGGGTTCGAGTCCCGCATCGGGTGTTTTTGCAAATTTTTTGTTTTATAAAAATATAATAAACTCATCCATCAAAAAGCTGTTGGCAATGCATTTAGCTACAGACCACCGGGGCTTCAAAAGATATACGGATTAAACCACTCGCCATTTTATTTAAAAGCTTTCCTGAAACTCTTCTCAACAACCGGACTGGAATTAGAAAATGACAGGTCGTTGAAAAAACTCTTATTGTCCTCCCTGATTATGTTTTCTACATTTACTGTTTTAGCATTCTTCTTGGCCTTTTTAGACAAGGGCGGTTCCCGAGGAATTTTTAAGGCCCACGGATCGCTTATCGTGTTCTTGCTATCAACAGTATTTATCTTGTTTTCTTTCTGCTGGACTGCTATAACACCGGTGGACACCATATTATCACTTTTACCATCAATAAAATCTACTTCAAAAGGATTGTTGTGCATCTTTTCTATTTGTTTGTTTAGCATTTCAATCTGGCTCTTCTGAGACTGGATAGTCTTCTCTTTACCTTCAATAGAATCTTTAAGCAGTACAATACTGTCCTTTTGCTCCTTAATGGTCCTTTCGTTTCTTGAAAGAAGACTGTTTTTCGACTTTAAATCCTCGATTTCGCTTTCCAACGCCTTAATCTTGCCTTGATAGATGCCCGTTTGGCCATCTTCAGCCACTTTGGTATCTGGTATCTTCTTGTTTATTTGTCGTATAAGCTTGACTGTCTCGTCATGGTTTGATCTTAGCTCTTTAAGGATAGTCTCTTCGCAGACGCTATTAGCGTTCTCGTTTCTTAGCTCCGATGCTACTATTTTGTTTAGTTTCTTTTGAAGATTCTCTATTTTCTCCTCTGCTGCCTCAAGCTTCCCCTCCATCTCACTCTTTTCTCTTAGCAAATTCTCTATTTTCCTTTCCAAATCTTTGCATCTGCTCTTTGATTCCTCGAGTTTATTCCTCGAGTCTTCGAACTTGCCTCTCGACTCTTCGGAGTTGGACACTTCCTGTCGTAAAGAATCAATAAGCATGTTCAATTGAGATACTCTTTCTGAATAGTTTACAACAAGATGTCTGGTGTATTCCTGTTCTAGATTCCTCGTGGCTCTTGACAGTCTTTCATACTGCTTTTCATAATGCTCCATGCTTGGTATGGAAAACTTTATTTTATTTTATTTGAAATTGGGAGGGAAATGCAAATGCAAATGCAAACATAATAAAATGCACGAAACTATCCTAAATGTGGGGCCCCTTAGATCAAAGAGCTGTTGCATTGAACCTTACTTGGCCATTTATGCATTCAAGACATGGCTTAAAGAAACTCAGCTCTCAAAACTTGTGGCCAGTCGTCAGGAAGCAGTCCTAGCTCCGGCATAAAAGCAAAGACTGCTTTTCATAGCTATTCAACACAAAGGAAGTGAAAATAGAAGACATTGCGAAATAAAAAACTTGATCGGAACACTAAGTACTATTCATTTAAAATTTGTGAAACCTATCAAACATCTCAGAATCCCGAAAATACAAACAGAGCATCCATGGCCAAAAGCATTTATTTAAAGAACAAAAAATAACAACACACCCCCTGAACACAACTACTCATTTATTTTGCTGGCGCCTTGGTCTGCGACTTGGCTATTGTTGTCTTGATTTCTCTAACACACAGATTCCTCAACTCTCCTGTAAGCATCAACTCATAGGATGCAATGATGTCCTCAACACCAATCGTTTCTTTGTCAACCTTCTTGGCAAGCTCGGTGGCCGTAAGGATTGTGTCTTCAATGAGAGAGTTGGCTATTCCGCACAGAACACAAAGCGTCTTTTCCGTAATCTTGATGGAGCCATCAGGCGATGTCTCCCTAAGACACTTCTTAATAGCTGATCTGAACTGCAGACCAGTAGCTGCAGAGGACGACTTTCTCTTCTTGCCTTTCTTGGACTGCGAACTTGTTGGAGCAATAGACTTCACTGGGGCTTTTCCTGAGCTTTTCGGTGGTACTGCACTTGACATGTTGGGGGTAATAATTTTTTCACTATTTATGTGGCAGGGCGGGAAAAGACGAATTTTTGGAGGCAAACTATCTGTTTTGCCACCTGTATCTGCAAATTTATTGAATTTTACATATCCAAAAAGTAAGGACAAACTAGGATGGATGAATGGGCCATTGCATGTGCCTTTAATTTGCATCTTGCTGTTTCTATCTTGGCATTCTTTTGTGGTTTGTTGTTTTGTTGCAGATATTTTCCCTCCAAAAATAAAAAATGCTTTTTTTTGTGGCTTTTAAGAATAGCTCAAAAAACACAGAAAAAATCGAAGCAGCAAGGCTGTACTGAGTTAGATAGGATATAACAGTGCCAATTTTTAGTCCTACGTGCATTTATATGTAGTATTTCTCTTGAATGTCAACTTCAGATCACTCTTTCATATCGTCAACACACCGTTCACAAGATACCGTCCGTAGGTGTTGTTATACAGACTATTATTCTAAAGATGCCCGCATCCATGGTCATGGGATGCATTGCATAGCCTTTTCTTATTTACTCTTTTATATAGAAATGAGGGGCGACTTGAAAACAAAAGAAAAACACTTTATTCATATTCTGGTTACTGAAACATAAATTTCCGACTCCAATGCAATCTGATCCATTAACGGTCCTTCATAGAACATTAGTAGCCCACCAAAAGACGCCTCAAATCTATTGTTCTGTATTTTATATACTATTCCTCTTGTTAGATATGTGTTCTTGTTTATGGCTGGCTTCTCAGAGGTGTAGATGTCTATTTTGACTATATCGTTTGGTCTGAGATGGCAGAGATCAGAGTGGTAGTCTAGTGCCATCCTTGTGTTTTCAGAGGTGAGAGAGGCTCTGGGGACCTTCTCAAAGCCGGTGTTTTTTATTTCGGCCACTTTGAAGTTTTGCGAGACTGCATGCATTTCGACTGCAAAATTTTACACAAAATATATAAAAAAGACAAACAAGTGTAGAGGTCTGCAAAAGCGGCTGAATATTTGGTATCCTCGACAGCTCCACTTATACACTAAAGTGATCTTCATCTGAATGACTCTAACAAACTCTCTTCTTTTCAACAAAGGCCGAAAGCTATTTGAGATACTTATTGAAAAGTACGTGTCAGGCCATGCCGACATTTATGAACAGCCGGTAGTTTGTTAAAGTATATAATATAAACTTTCAAATAAATACTGTGAAAATTTAATATCCGCATTTTGTTTTAATTCCAGCGCCGTTGTTATCTATATTAGTCTACAACACAGTGGGCTTTGCTGTAGGCTTTTCTTTTTAGCAAATAAAGTTGTTTGTTTTATGCTAATGTATAGATTATTTCTCAAGTCATTCATCAATAAGTGCCCCAGCAAAACTATAAAATTCGTTCTTGCTTCCAATACCGACTTTCTCGTTCAAAGCATTCAAGATTCCTTTGATTCAGATGGAACATTACAGTCTAAGGTCTATTTTAATCTTTGGGTTAGCTTTTTATCTCTTTATGATCATTGCCCCTCTAATAAAATCCAGGGATACCTAAGGGATTTTGGCCAACTTGAGAGTCTACTTCACGGTAGTATTCAAAAACTGCTCTCAGAGCTTCTGATACTCTTTGGCTATAAAGCAAATGTCTGTGTTTCCAAGCTATACACCCTTGAAGTATTCCTCATATCATTTGTTAATATTAGTATTGCTGATAAGGTATCAATCAATGAAAATACCGAATTGGCAAGAGAAAGCCATTCAGCAAGTAAAGTGATAAGAAGGATGTTAAAAACTCTACATATTGTACCGGGTGCAGTGGCATATGGAGGAAGATCTATAAAGGAGCATGCACAGACACACAGATGCACCAATGAAAGCTGCCATGGCAAGATACTTGTAATATCCCAGAATGGTATTTCATATGTTGTGTGCATGAATGATAAGACGATATCAAAGAAGCATACTGAATGCCTGAAATGTAGTACCTGTGGATCCAAGCTGGAAAAGATACAGACAAGAGTATGCTATGAATACCGATATTTTATATCTATGATTAATGAGTCTATAGGTAATGATTGCTTTATGAACCGGTACTTGACCATGAAATCTTCTATAAAACTCGTCGAGCACCCTACTGGGGATAAACCTTTTAAATTTGATGTAAGAGTGGTGGGATATTTGGCCAGGGACCAGTTTGGAAGAGTGTATTTTCACTGTCTTTCTTTGAATGAATTGACTGGGTGCTCATTAAGAAAGCTAAATTTTGAGCATCAGTTAACATCAGTGAGAAATTCGCCAGATTCATCAATGAAAAAACTCCAAGCAGCCACATCCAAGATTTTAAGTCACAAAAAGACTGTGACACTGATAGATTCGATTGTTGTTGCTATTGCCAATATTTTCAATGGCTGTTGCTTTGACGATAATGCAGCATATAGCAGCAAAGAGGAATGCACACTTATGATCAGCAGTCCAGCATCCATCAAGGAATTCATATCACCAAACGATAGAAGAAATGCCAAGGAAGCCAACAGCGAAAGAAGAATGCTCATCCAAACCAACGACGTCAGCTATGTTATTTCAATATTCAGAAGTGTGTGCAACATTACAGTGTTTTACTCGGCGAAGGAGTTTATTAAAAACTACAAACGCTGCGCACAATGTATTTATATTTCAGAACAAATCCCAAGGAATATAAAGAAGAGCATTTTGAGGGACTGTGCTGATTTCGAATTTAATATTAATATCGACAGCGAATCTTTGCTTGATTGCAGTGCCTATGAGTATTCTCAGACAAAGCCCGTAACGATGGACAAAAGATGGGTAGGCTTGGATGAAAATGAACAGGCCCTACTTAAAGAAGTATTTACAAAGCAAAGAAGCATGTTCAAGGGGTTAATAAAGCCATACAAACTATTAAGAACAACAGAGGCATTGTATATATCACTTAAACAGCTGACAGGCGACAGTGAGTCAATATTTATGATATTAGAACACTTCAATAAATGTTTAGTATAGAAGATAAAAGATGTTGTGTGGTTAGAAAAGGAACAGCCAGTAACTGACCACTTCTGCTTCTGTTATGGTCACTGACACATTTAAACCCTGTTTTATAAATTCTGCCGTGCAGGACTATATGTCTGCTGGCTTTGCATGATGGTCCTGCTGTGGCAAACTACGGTCTAGCCAGCCATACTACCTTCTTTATTTCGGATTTGCCCACACCCCATGGCAAGCAGTACCAGGGCCAAAAAGGACAGAATAAACAAAAATGCTGAAGATCTAAACATGGACAAGAATTCAAGCAATGCCAGCAAGGCAACAAATGATATTTCAGCAGAAATGCTAGATAAAAGAACTATTTCAAGTTTTCAGTCCAATGAGGAAAAGGAAGAGTATGTTCTAAAGGCGTGCGACGAATTAGTCCAAAATAACGATTACCAGACCCTCTTATCACTCTTAACCAATCTCCCTGGCATCTGGGACTCTCTTTCTACTGCCAGACTCACCAAGATTGTGAAACAAGTATTCTCTAGAATTGATGCCAATTTTAGAATATTTGAAAATCTCCATGTTCTTTTAAAAGGCCTTATCGAATGCTACTCGGATAAGAAAATGCTAAAATTAGATCTGGAGTGTAAATTAATCAATCTTTACTTGACAGTGGGGAAGTACAGAGAGTGTCTTGAAAGCATTTCACATGTTTTGAAGGAGTTGAAAAAATACGATGATAAAATTAATTTAATTTCGTTGTATGTCTATGAGAGCAGGGCCTACTATGAGCTGCAGGACTTTAGCAGGGCAAAGTCCTCGCTGACGTCGGCCAGGGCACTAGCAGTCAGCAGTGCATGCCCTGCCCAGCTTCAGGCACAGATAGATCTACTAAATGGCATGTATCTCAGTGACGAAAAGTCGTTTGACACTGCCATATCATACTTCATGGAAGCACTTGAAGGATTTCTACAGGATAAAGTGCCTGAAAATGCCTGTGTGACTCTGAGATATATCATTCTTAATAAGATTCTTCTTTCTAAGTTTGATGACATCAATGCTGTCTTGTCTTCTAAACATTCGGCACCGTTTAGGGACGACCAGTTTATTAAATTGCTATGCAGTGTTTCTAAAAGTTGCAAAAAAAGAGATTTGAACATGTACAGCGAGATTCTGACAAACAATGCTGTTGTTCTGGAGAGCGATGCATATGCAACCCGCCATCTTTTCCATCTCTACAATATTCTTTTAGACCAGAATATTCTAAAGATCGTTGAGCCATATTCGCATGTCAAAATTGAATTTATTTCCAATAAGATCCATTTATCCGAAGATGTTGTTGAAAACAAGCTGAGAATGATGATATTGGACAAGACTATTGATGGCATTCTTGACCACGACACTCAATGTCTTATTGTGAATGATTTGAAGAACGCTGAGGATAATTTTGCATTTAAGAATTTGAAGATTATTAGAGAGTTTTTCTCTGAAGTCTAATAAAAGTGTAGTTTTGGCATCAATTGTAGTTTTCATTCTGTATTTAGAACAAAACCGACACACTTAAATTAATAGAAGGCTGCATTTATGCCAAAATACTCATTTGTACCGTCCTATTTTAAATGTGACAAGACTGTTGATGATATGGGCTTTTGCTAGGATGTTGATTCCATCGTTTGGCCCATATAAGCATTCAGTACCAGTTTTGGATAGCTAATATTTTCTTTCTAGTGCCTTGAAACGTTATAATATTTTCAGTAAAAAGACGGGAAAAGGAATTGCTTATTTTTACACATGTTGTGAAAGGCTCTGGGCCATAATTCTATCAAAATGATTTATAACTAAATTTAAGGGTGCACGGCAGAACTCAGGAGCCCTGTACGCCAGGAACATGTAGATATGAAGATGAAGTCAGAATTTGCACTCATCACCGTTCAGTCTGGGGCGGCAAAGTTTCATCATCCCTCATGGGAGTAGAATTTTTCGATAAAATAAGCAAAGAGTAAAATCAAACAAGGCTGCAGCTGGGCCTACACAAGCTTGGCAATAGGTAAATTAGCTCGTATATGTTTTAGTATCTTTAAACTTACTCTTTCGGCTCTTTGATCTCCAAAGCTTTACTATTTGGCTATTTCTTTGTATCTACAAAAGCTTCCTTCAATTCCACTCTCCTACCCATGAGCCAAAAAGAGCAAAAAGAGGGCTTCAGATTGGACCACTACGGGCTCAAAAAAGACTCAGCTGGCGAAAGATTGTGCAGCCCAGTACCTGTAATAGTTACACTACTACAAGCTGTAATCCTCTCATTTATCATTTCCAGTATTAACGTAAACACGCTTCTTCCATGGTACACCAACCAGCACATTACACGGACATTTCTTATCTGCAGTGCTTCGATTCTGTTGGTTGGCCAAAGAATACTCAACAGACAGCACGCTCTCACTCTAAAGAACAATCTCATCATGGAGTTCACTTCACACATCCTTTTCACCTATTGTTTTATCCAACCACAAACCCTGTTAAAATTTGATAGAACTTACATCTTTCCTCTGTCAAAACTCAAAATACATGTAAATCTACTGTTCTCGGTGGTTAATTCAGCAATATTTTCATCTTTCTTTACCTTTCTAGACTGTTTTGTGAAGTCTAGGATTGTGTACACCCAGGCACCAGGTCTGTTTGCGTATTTGAGGTCAAAACTGGTCGCAATACTTGTTGATGCAAAAAACGTAATGCAGTGGTGCATTAGACTTTCTGTGGTGGGCTTTATCTTATATTTCTGTCTTTTTCATAATATCCTTTCAATACTCACGTTTTCTCTGAGAATTTCGCTCTTTTACAACTCCATTACCGAAGTAGTGTTCCACATTCTTATTCTGTGTATTAATGATGCTGTCTTTTATATTTTCTATGCGATTCTCGAGTATGTAGCTGTATTCAATTTGTCGTTTAATTCATATTCTGTTGACTATCATACTGAGCCCGATGACAATGCAATCAACGACATTAAAAGCACTCATGAGAATGTTTCCAACACCGACTGTATAAATTCAATATTGCTGAAATACCACAAGGCCGTGATGGCTTTTAAGAGCAAGGAGCTCAAATTCAAAACAAAACCCAACGAGGCTAAGCTCGTGGAAATAGCTGCTTGCAGCGCCCTCGATGAGATTAGAGAAATTTTAAAACTATTTGAAGCCTCGAGGAATAGCCTCGACTCTGAGATCTTTGTAACCGTCCCCCAGGCAAATAAAAGATATATCAAAAGATATAGAGCATACCACTTACTGAATATACTTTGGGGCAAAATGCAGTACCAAGCACAATGCTTTGTGCTTTCGAGGAGATTATCTATAGTTCTAGACAGCCTGATAGAGATTCTTGATTTTGTATTTACAGTTAGAGAGCAGGAAGGCATTCAATTGCTAAATCAAGCATTTTTCAATGATTTGCTTGAGACCGTTGAGCATATTGGAGATATTTCTGGCAAACTGCAGATAGATCTGAAAGACGAAAGACTTTCTAATTTGATTAATAAATTACAATAATTTAAAGAACAAAATTAAAAGAATTTCTATTGAAGTTGGCGTGTAAAGCGCATATGTTTTATATTGTGGCACTATTGTCTTCAATGCCACAGAGCTCCTCACTTGATGGTCTGCTTGGAAATCCTTGTTTAGTACTTCGAATTAGATTGGTCTTGCTTCTGTGGAGACTTTTACAAATAAATTAACCATAAATGCTTTATTTATGTGGCAACTAAAGCAAACATCCTCAACTAACTAAATTAGAGTCAACAACATCAAGAGCATATTCATCCTCAAGAATCGAAGCTAAGACCTGATCACCAAGAAGACCTCTCCATTGAAAATTAATACTTTTTTTTCGACATCAATGCCCTTTGATTCTTTAATTCTCTGCAAAATATCAGAAACCGTAGAATCATCGCCAACTTGGACAACAACATCGCTGTTTGAATCTGCATTGAATTTTAAAACAATATTCTTCTTTTTCAAAGCGCCAAAAAGTTCATTTTCAGGGAGATAAACATAGTTGACACCTGGGAAAAATCCCGACTCTCCAGCAAGTAAAAACCGACTGAGCTTCATGTCCTCGTAGAGGAGCTTCTTTTCACTGTCGTCACCGAACAGCTCCTGGTACAGCATTTCTACTGGATCATCATCGTTCATGTAAAATTCCCTTTCAAATGCACCGGACCTAAATTTGACAGTGTATTTGTAACTTATAGGCAATTTGGGCTTTTCAGGTGTTGAAAAACCGCTACTTTTATTGTCATCTTTCTCCTTATGGGTGATTATACCGAAGTCATTTTGCACAGACGTGCCATTTGCTATACTTGAATCGCTATTTTGTGGTTCATAGCATGCCTCCGTTTTACCATTAGAAGGAGTGCTCTCTAAAATTGTTCTGCATTTTGCTTTACTACTGTTTTCTACTTTACTGGCATAATCTGTCTTGGCACTTTTTTTACTGTTTAGAGAAAGCGTGTTTCTCTTCATCCTGTCGGTGATTGCAACATTGGTAAATGCATTATCTGTTGGCTGCTGTATTTCATTCGCTATTTTTGTTTTTTTAGAATAGCCATTTCCTACCTGGGCATTTAAGCCCATACTATTAATTTGAACACTTTCATTCACTTGTGCGTTTTTGCTTGCAAAATCTGTACTTTCTCTTTTGTGCTGCTTTCCTGGCAGCCCCAATGGCGTATTTACCATATTGCTATCCAAAACTATACAATCATTTTCAAAGAAAACATGGCCAGCAATATTCATGCTTTCGTCACTTTTTTCTTTTCCTTTTATTGTTCCAAGAACTACCAATTCTTCAGATTCACTGTCACTTTTCATCATCGGACGATGGGATTGGCCACTGAAGAACTATTTAGCACATTAAAGAATTAAACCAAAGAGAATACATAACATCCATTTACATACTCAGAGCAGTATCATATGAATAACATGAAAAGAGTTTTATCATAAAAATGAAATATCCAAGAGAAACAGAGAGTACATTCAAAAA